CAGGCTCGCGTATCTAAAATATCTAAAAATCAAAATCAGTGTAAAACTTTTTCAACCAATTTTGGAATTTCGACACGGCGGCTGTGGCGGTGGTTTAACTCGGACTGGCCATTTTCGGCCAGTTTTAGCCAGTTTTAGCCGGTTTTATACCCATCCCTACGAGAAAACACGTTAGGGGCCATCGGTTTGCCGAAAAAAGTCAAAAAATAAAAATTTATCTGCGACAAAATTTTTTCGGTGCGGCGGATTTGCCGACTCACCTTTACGGCTAGACGTTTCTCTTCGGTCATCTTGTAGAAAACAAAACGGTAAACACAATGGTAAAAAAATCACACAAAACAGGAAATGGGAAGGGGCTCATCGGAGGCGATTTTTGTTTTGCCTGCGGTAGTGCTGTCGGGCTTTACCTACGATTTTCGGCTCATCTGTCATTCTTTTTGCTCTGATTTGGTCATGGGGTGTTCGAAATCAAATTCCAAGTGGATAGAAGAATTTTTACCTTTTTTGGCGGTTGGAGGTGGCTCTGGCGCGACGGTGGACGGCGGTCGGCTCCCTTCTGTGGCAACTAGTTCTTCTTTTCCGGCGGGGAGCTGGCGGCTAAGGTTTGACTTTGGTGTAATGTGAGATATTTATACTCATCTTCCTTAAATCTGAACCGTTCATCGCATTTGATGTCGATCATCCGATCACATTTAAAGAAAAAATAAATCTGAACCGTTCATACCAATTTGATCTTGACCGTATGATCGTGTTTGAAGAAGGAACGAATCTGGACTATTCATCGCGTTTAATCGCGACCATCCAATTGCGTATGAGTAGGGAACAGATCCGGACTGTTCACGCGCGCAAAAACGCATCTGGATTGTCTGATTGTGATTATGCGGATTGCCAACGTGACGCCGAATCAGTGTACCTTGCCACGCGATGCGCTCCAGTTCGTCGGAGTTGCTGACTAGACAGTCCTACGTGGTGCAATTTTTTTCAATTGCATTTTAATCCCCAATTTTTAATTTTTTTTCAAAAATATTCCTCAAATCTAAATTTTCACCTATTTTTTTTAAAATTATTTTCAATTTTATTCTCCACCTTTTTTTTTCTAATTTTACGTTAAATAAATTAAAAAATTATATTTATATATATATTTTTTTTAATTTTAAAATTATTTATATATATTTTTTTTTAATTTTAAAATTAATCTAGACTAATTTTCACACCCATATATTACATCATGAGTTCATGACCTTAGTCATGAGCTATATGTACATCTATATATACCTAAATAACTCTTTCAATAATATCATATCCTACATCAAGGAAAAACACCTAGAAAGAAGATCTAAGTTGGAAAGAGAGAGAAGCTTTAACCACCCACAAAATGGATGTAGTTAAAGTGCTGCACATGAAGGGAGGAAGTGGACAAACCAGTTATGCTCTCAACTCTTTGCTTCAGGTATTACTGGAACTAATTATTACCTAATAATATATTATTATAGTATAACATATAAAACTATATGTACCGTATATACATAATATATATAATATAGAAATAATATGTTAAAATCTGACAAAAAAAAGATAAAAATTGAGCTAATTTTGAATTATTGAATTACTAACTAAATCGATCACGATCAGAATTATTTGGACGATTCAATTTTAATTAGTTTGATTGAGTTCTGTCAATTAAACTGTTTAATAGGATTATGTCAATTTTTTAATTGAATCGATCCAATATACAGTTTACTCGTATATTATAAATTTATTTTATTATTTAAAATATTTACTAAAAATAATTAAAAGTTACAAATTATATTTATAAAATATCTCAACTCATCTATACTCTCTATAATACTTTATAATTTTATTTGTTGATAATAATGACATTATGTTTTAGTTTTCTAATAGTAAATAATTTTTCTTTTTTCATAAAAATAATGTTTATACTTGTAATTGTTATTCAAATTTATATCAGAGTTATTAATATATTTTATACTAGTTTGTTTAATTAATAACAATTATTTTGGATCTAAAATGTTTGAAATATATGCAGCAAAAAGTAATATCGATGACAAAGCCAATCACGGAGGAAGCCATAACCAAGCTCTACTGCAACACTTTCCCTGCAAAGCTAGCCATAGCTGACTTGGGTTGCTCATCTGGACCGAACACCTTGCTTGTGGTTACCCAACTGATCATGACAGTTGACAAGCTTCGACGGAAATTGAGCCAGGAGTCGCCGGAGTATGTCATCTTTCTTAACGATCTCCCAGGAAATGACTTCAACAACATTTTCCGGTCATTACTTCCAAACTTCCAACAGAAACTGACTACTGAGATTGGAGCTGGCACCAGGCCTTGTTTCTTGTCCGCTGTTCCGGGTTCTTTCTACGGCAGACTTTTCCCGGAAAATAGCCTGCACTTTGTTCACTCTTCTTATAGTCTTCAATGGTTATCTCAGGTCAAATTTATATAATACTTGAGTTGGATACTGCACGTAAATAATGTTAATAAGTATATTAATTCATCTTATTGTCAATGTACTATATATACATGGACAGGTACCAGAGGGGTTGGAGAATAATAAAGGTAATATATACATGGCAAGTAGTAGCCCTAAGAACGTGATGAGAGCATATTATGAACAATTTCAAAAGGACTTCGGCTATTTTTTGAAGTGTCGATCAGAGGAGTTGGTGGCTGGAGGCCGTATGGTTTTAACATTTTTGGGAAGAAGCAGCCAAGATCCTTCCAGCAAAGAAGGTTGTTACATTTGGGAGCTTTTGGCCACGGCTCTAAACGACATGGTCTTAGAGGTATATATACATATACATATACACATATATACAATTAAACACAGATTTATCTTTTTTTAATTAAAAAAACTGGGTTATAACAAAAATTTTAAAAAAAAATGTATACTTTATATATATATATATATATATATTTATATGATTCAATAAAATAATGCAGGGAATAATAGAAGAAGAGAAGCTGGGCTCCTTTAACATCCCACAATACACTCCATCTCCAGAAGAACTGAAAACTGAGGTTATAAAAGAAAGGTCCTTCACCGTTGACCGCCTTGAAGTTACAAGAGTCCATTGGGATGCTTATCACGGCGAATTAAGTCCGTTCGATGCAGTTATGGACGGTGGATATAACGTGGCAAATTGCATGAGGTCTGTGGCTGAGCCGCTGCTCGTCAGCCATTTTGGTGAAGAAATCATTGAGGAGGTTTTTTACAGGTACCGGAAAATCCTTGCCGATCGCATGTCCAAGGAGGAAACCCAGTTTGTCAATGTTATTATCTCGGTCGTTAAAGCTTGATTAATTACGATATTATAAATTCAGGCTTTGGGAATGAAATTATAAACAGTTGTTATTACTTTTTTATGTACCATGGGAATAAGTAATACATATAATATTATATATATATATATATATATATATGCATAAGTTGTACTGAACGCATATTTGCTTGAAGTTGAAGATTAATTTTCTATTTACGTGATTAATTTAAATTTTCTCTTGAATTAATTATCATAATATTTATTTTGTATTGAAAGCATTTAATATTTATTCATGCTATCACACATACAACCACAATTCCATTCATAGATGATTGATGAATCGAACAATAGCAACACTTAACGTCAACACTCTCGGGGAGAAAGCAAATGGTGGCTTATGGGTAAAACGGAGAGTTTCATTCGCAATGAGGAGGATAAGAGTTTCCTTTTGTTCTTGGGAATAAATGAGGGAGTTGTTCATCTTTTTTTAAAGGATCCAAGTGGATGCACATGTGACCAACATGACATTCGTATGGTTTTGGTTGGTTTATACATATCATCCATACGTAAGTTAATCAATTCTAACGACAATTGGGTAATTTAAATATTTTTTAAAAGTTGAGAAATGTTTAACTGTATGATGGCTTACCAAATCTAGTTTTGTACTTATTTGAATATAAATAATTAATTGAGTAATTTTTTTATCAACTTAATATTTCAATTAATTACTTAATATTACTATTACTATTTGACTCTTTTTTTTTTTTTTTTTTTTGCCTAGATTGGTGAACTTACCGATGCGTCTTGGTTTTTTTTTATTGTTCTTTAACATGATTTTGCTAAAGCCTGGTCGGCCTCCTAAATGCAAGCAAACAATCGGATGAGTATAAATTTTGATTATTTAAATTTCATTTTATTAATAATATTTACGAAGATAATTTATAAATAATATATTATATTAGTTTTATGAATATAGTTTATTCAATTATATCATTTCCCATCATATTAGAATTAGAGTCTTGATTTTGCCATAGCTAAAAGGAATAAAAATCAAGAAATGAATTAATACTAATATTATATTTTGTTCAAATTCTGATTTAATCAAATAAGAATAAGAATATGATATAAATGTAATAAAAATTTAAAAATGTTATTATTACAAGTATTATTCCAATATCCAATTTAAATTTATATTCATAAGTTTTTATAAACAAATAAAAATATATATTTATAATTATAAAACTAATGATACCAATAAAAATTAATTTAATTATGAATCAAATAATATGCAATTTAAGGATTGAAGACAAACAAAATTGACCCAGCCATGGAAGATGAACAAACTCGGATGGGTGAGCAAACCAAAGAATCCTTTTGGACGGCAGATTCTCCTTTAAATAAACTTGTTAAATAAACTTGTAATATACACACAACACTTTCTTCTTCTTCCTCCATGGTGCAAAGGACTGTGTTGAAGGTTGATATTTCATGCTATAAATGCAAGAAGAAACTCCTCAAAGCAGTCTCTTCTCTCCAAGGTCAGTATCACAATATATATATATATATATATATATATATACACGTGGGTATATACATATACATATTATTAGATCAATTTTTTTTTTTTTTTTTTAAAGAGAATAAATTAAATTGGTGCAGGTGTTGATAAAGTTGAAGTGGATGCAGCTAAGGGGACACTGACAGTGACTGGAAATGCAGACCCGTACGAGATCATCGTGCGGACGAGGAAAGTCGGTAAATTTGTGGAGGTGGTGAGCGTCGGGCCTCCTCCGCCACCGCCTAAACCGCAAGAGGCTCAGAAGAAGGCTGAAGAGAAGAAGACAGAGCAGAAACAACCCGACACAAAACCCCCCCAAATAATCCCTTATCCTCATAACTACCCAATGTGTGAGAGAGTCGCTCTCGTCCATCTGGACCGTTATGATGAACCCGGGCCGGTCTGCTCTATAATGTAAACAAATTCAAATATAGAAAAATAAAAAATTTCACCAAAATTCTTCTTCTATTTATTATATATATAATGTAATTTTGTTGTATTAATTAGAATAATTAATAAATAATCAAATTAAAACAATAAAATAATAATTAATTATTAAATTTGTTATGATAATAAAATGCCGCCTCGCCACCTCGCTTCGTTTAAAATACAGTCGTTGGAGTTCCCGGACGGGAACATTTCGTTGAATATACGCGTAATAGAAAAGAAGGAAGAGCAAATGAAAATAAGGAAAAGACTGATAGAAAAGAAGGAAGAGCAAAAGACCAGAAAAATATTTTCCTTCTTCTGAAATATTTTGCTGCTTACAGGGATACATATATTGTCACTAGTGTTGTACCGTAACAGAAGAAAATAAAACAACAGGAAAAGAAAACATTACAACAGGAAAACATGTATTGCCACTGGCATTGTACTG